TGATAGAGGTGGACTATAGGGAAACATCAACAGCCTATATAAAACTTATTATTTAACCTGCAACTAAGTTTTTGATAGCTATGACCTAATTTCTTTACCAAAAATAGATTTAGCAAAACATTATGTAAAATGTGCAATTTCAAGTATAATTACTTATTAAGTCATCTAGTAAATTACCATGTTAATCTATATGCTGTGGAAATAATTCTTGGTTGCATGGCTTTCAGCATGTAATTACTAAACAGTTCCCATCATTACAGCTTTCTAATCTATTATGAAAAAGACTAGGAACGTAATTTTGGTTACAAAGCCCCACATACTCATCAATACATGGCAGCTATGTGACAGTTGTGATCATAAATCACATGATTCTTATTTGGTAATTGTCATGACACTAATGGTCAAATAATTTACTTTGTTCATAAAACTACAACTAGCTTCAAAGTTTGGTGGAAAAGAGTTTTTATTTTGAAAGAAATACAAATAAACATTATGTGCCCACATTTCAAAAACCTAACTCCTCTCCCTACATTTTTAGTTAGCTGAAATACTGTGTATGATGTTACATAAACCATATAGGAAAAAACTCTGTGCTTTCAAGAGAAAAAAAAAATCGCATGGCAATTTTCATAAGAAGGTAAACAATACCTTCCTTATAGACATCAGGGTTCATAGACCAGTATAACCAATTTATATGACTAGTAGGGGAAGATAAATAAAAAAGTAATATGCCTGTAAGACTCTAACAATAAGGGTCTGTCTTGCTGCTTTTGTTTGCTGGAGGAAGGAGCCTTGATCTAAACTATGCTAGGTGTCAGTATGTGTGATGAGAGTTGCACAAGTTAAGGGGTGGAGGGCTGCTGTGTCTGGTGCACACTCACATTCGCCGCTCTCTTTCTCCGCCTTTTCAGCCACTGTAACTCAGGTAGAAGGGGCCACTGGTCACCGCCTTCTCTGCCTATGTGACAGAAAAAGAAAGGGCAAGATTTACACTTGACAGCATGTCAATGAGAGTATGTTTTCAAAATATTATGTGAAGGAATAACAGCAATGATAACATAGATCATTTAAAATAAACTCAGGGTGGGGGGGGAAGGACACTGATCATTAAACATTTCACATTCTCATGGCCCCAGTCTAACTCAAAGGTGTCATTTTCATCCAAATAGCAAAAGCATACTGAGCTGTGGAAGACATTAGCGTATGCATAGTTGGTCTACAGCTACCTGACCTTCAATGTCTGAAATTTTAGGATAACTTTGCTATGCTTAATTTATTTTAGAAGTAAAAATAATGCATAATTGTTAAAGACATTTTGTTCTGATAGACAGGATATGAAATACCCTAAAGCTTTGGCCAACATCAGCTTGATTAAGAGACAATACAGGTTGAAGAAAGACAGCACTCAGAGCCAAGAAGGCTGAAGGATGAACCCCACTGTGAAGTGCTATGTTAACCTTGGCCATGCTCTCCCTCCTGGACTTCATAGCTCAGGGTTTCCCTTGGAAGTGATCCTCCATGCCTCACTGTATGAAAGTCACAGCTCACTCTTCTGCCCATCCAACCTGCTAACAGAGCTTGACCAATTTCACTTCCAAATGAGCCTGTCTGTTGAGTTCCCCCAAGTTAGAAATTTTATAACATAAAAACTACCTCAATAAAACTTACTGAGATTCTTCATTTGCTTAAAGTATTGGCCTGTCAAGGTTTTCTGGATTATATGTGGTCGACCTGTGCTTTTCTGAAACAAAAACAATGTAGACAATTAAAAAGCAAGATGAGGCCCTCCCTTGTGGCGCAGCGGGTTAAAGCACAGCACTGAGAAGCTTAAGCCACTTCCGCATGAGTTCGATTCCCTCCTGCCCCGGAGGTGACCACATGGCGTAGCAGACCTCTCCTGGCCCGCCCGCTGCTCCCCTCAGCAGTGTACTTCGTCAATCTGCCTGCTCTGTACCCCACTCTGTCTCTGGTGAATCCTCTCACCCACCGCATCCCTGGCCTGTACCCCAGTTCTATATGAATAAATAAATAAATCTTAAAAAAAAAAAAAAAAACAAGATGAGATACAGCCTCTATGGATTTATACTAAAAACTCCTCAAAGGTCCATCTTAAAATGGCAGCTTTATTGGCTAATTTTCCAGAATCAAAAGTAAAAATATATGACCATGAAATTTTAATTTTCATCAAACTGGGTGCCATGATTGTTTCAGGCTTGCTACTCTTAAGTCTTAGCTTTCTTCAAAGTCCTAAATAGTCACAAACAACAAAAAAACATGGTCACACATAAAAACCTGCTGAATGCTTTACTACTCTTTCAAAATGTAAATTAAAAAATACCAATCTTTGCCATCAAATTGGCAAATGTTTAAAAATCACACTGCCTACAGATAATTATGATTGCAAGGCAGAAAACATTCTCATAAACTGCTGGTGGCATAGTTCTCTGAACTGGTAGCATAGTTCAGAGGAAAATGTAGCAGTTCTATCAAGAGCCTTGAAAATATATCTTTTGCCTAGAAATTATAGCTTTAAGAATGTCTATTACCATTACTATCATTACTATTAACTTTCATTACTGAATGCCAGGGAGATGCCAGGATTTCCTCAGGAGAATTCATACAATACTTATTTTATCTTCATTTCACAAATAAAAATATTGAGATTCAGAGAGATTCACTATTGAGTTAAAATTACAAGACAAAATAATGTTTCCACTTGTTCTTTAAAATACAGGAATATATGATTTGAAAGTTGAGAGAATATACACTAAACAGTAAGAAGTAATATTTGGGAGATGGAAGATGGATAGTTATTATTTAGTTAAGTATCTGCTTGTTTTGCTCTCCCAAATATCCTGCAAAGTATTGGTTTTAAAGTCAGGAAAATGGTTATTAACAAGAGCATTATACAGTAACTACATAAATCAGTAAAAGTTTTACTACTTATTTATTACTTGAGAGAAAATGAATTCTCATTAAAAATGTTCTATTCCTATTACTTGACTTATTATCAAGCATACTAAAATTAGCAATAATAAATTAAACATGAAAAAAATATAAATTCAATTATAGGAGTCTTAATTCTGCTAACAAGTGAAATGGTAGCTAAAATAATGAAAATCCTAACTAAGTTTTGCAACATAATTTTTAAAATGGACTAAAGTTTCAAGCACTGCTTTTTTCTCTCTATCTATGGTGAAGATGAGGGCAAATTGTACAGAAACAAAAGTAATACGTAGGAAGGAAGCTAAAAAGAAAAAGGCAGTATACTTTTAATCATCAGGAGAATATGATTATGCAAAACCCATGCTTTAAACATCGTGATAATAGCAGTTTATATTTATAAATCTCTCAACAATTTTCTAGGCATAGTCTACATTCATTAATGCATCAACTCGCAAAATTGCCTTACTAGGGATGCATTGAAAAATTACCTCATTTTAAATATTTAAAATTCTAAAGTTGAGGGACTTATTGCTTTGTTCTGTTCTTTTTGTTTTGCTAGGGTAATAGGGGTGTTAATCAATGCCGGAAATCAAAACTCATTTTTTTTGCTGAATGAGTCAAATAATTTTGCTATCTATAGGTTATCTAGGTACCATGGAACAGGGGGAAAAGCCATTTCACTTAATCAAAATGTCCTTATCTAAGAGCAGTTATCTTCATTATCTGATAATTTTTATAGCTACTAGTTGAAAAATATTTTTTAACATCATGCATTTAAATTTTAACAACTGTTGTTCTTCAAATTAAAATTTACCCCATATTTATGTATATATTGCCACAGAAAATGAATTTTTGTCCATTTAACTGTTTTATCAATGCCTACATGACTGCTATCTATTTCAAAATTAATTTCATCTACATCTGAACTCTCTAAAGGGAAAGTGTTTTCTTTTCCCCATCAAATTAGTGCAATATTCTAATTCTACAAATCTTAAAATATTCTTTTCCAATTACAGCTTTTATTCATTTATATAATTCCCTGCTGGTACCTCGCAGCACCTTCATCTCCTGTCACTCTAGGCCCCGCTCCACTCCTCTCCAACCTGTGCATTTCCTCAGTCCACTAGAAACACTCCAACCTCAGGGCAATTCCATTTGGTCTTATCTTGACATGTTCTTCCAGCTACCTAATTTCTTGAAGGTCTTTATTCAAAATGACTGTCTCATTGTACTCATCTCTGGAGTGTTAATGAGAAAGTTTAATTCCACCCTCTTGGCTTCATTGTGTATTTGTGTTTTTTTTCTCCTCAGCATGTATCAATAACATAGCATATGTAATTACTTATTCACTCTCTTTTATTCAGGTCTGCCCCTGTCGGTCATCAGCCCCATTAGGCCTAGGACCTAGCTTCTAGGTCTTTTTTGTTCACCACTGTCTCTTCAGCAACTAAAATAGCTCCCAGCATGTAGTCAGGCATTGTTACTACATTTGACTACTAAAACCAAAATTTAAATTTGGTTGTATTCTATTGGTGGGCAACATTGTTAGAGCAGTAATCTCTCCTTCTGCTGCCCCTACCCCCATCCCAGTTTTATTGAGATATATTTGACATATAAAGTTGTGTGCGTTTAATGCGCACAATGTATATATTGTAAAATGATGACCACAGTAAGTTACATCCATCACCTCACATAATTACAGTTCTTGTGATAAGAACTTTTAAGATCTTAAGATCTATGCATGGCGGTTTTCAGACATACAATACTGCCTTGTCAACTACCGTCATCATGCTGTACTTTAGATATCCAGGAATTATTTACATATTTTGAACATCTTCCCCACTTCTTCTCTAGCTCCCCACTAATCTGTTTTCTGCTTTTAAGATTCCACAAATAAGTAAGATCACACAGTATACCTTTCTTTGTCTCACTTATTGCACTTAGTATTATACCCTCATGATTTCTGGTCTAGATTACTGGCCTATCCCTGACTCTAAACATTATTTTTTTTTCCATTTATCAAAAGAAAACTAAATATTATACAATGTAATCACAGTTCATTCACACATTCTCCCACTGAAGACTTAGACTCACTAAAGTGAAGTACATACTAATAATCATACAATTACCTAACGAAGAGAGTAAGAATAAAGATTAATTTAAAGGAAGTTTGTTAATACACAATAAATATTCTCTCTGCTCTTGGACCTGACCTTCATATCAAGAGATCAATGTTTCTGCTTCTAATCACATCTTAGGGGTGTGAAAACTGGGATCTGCAACTTAAGCTTCAAAGCTCATGCCACGTAAGTTTGAAAAACAAAGTCCTCTGTACAAATGCTTATTAAAATCTACATGACTTACTCTATTGCTCAAAAGGAAAAATGCTGGAAGAGTAAAACACCCTGAATAAACTGATGTCACAAGCAGACTTACCTCATCATGAATCAGCTCCATCGGTTCTATCATGTATACAAAGGAATTATCTTCGAACATACCACTACAACACAAGAAATAACACAGAGAGAATGAACAAACAAGACAAACAGCAAGAAATCCCAAGCCACACATTGTCTTTATTTTTTTAAGGGCAATATTTTTTTTTAAATAATTTTTGTTTGAAATCTACACATGAATTGTCAAAGGAAAGCTTTTACCTCCATCTGTGTTAACTGCTCTCATTACATTTTTTAAACTTTATGTACATTTTTTTACATCATTCTTCATTTTGTACTTTTTTTCACTTCAGTTGCAACCCTGTGGACTTCCCACCACCAATTCACCCAGGTGCCATTACCACAGTTCCTGGTATATCAGAACAAATACCTTTGTAGTGCCCTAAATCAAATTCACTTACCTGTATGCACCAACTGTGGTCACAGCAAAATACCCGATGACCAGTGTCAAAGCATATACCAGGAACACACCTATTATGCCTGTTATATTTAAATTTTGACATTAGCTGACCAGATTAGAAGATTAATCTAGAATAGGATTATACATGCAATTTCAGCCTCTTAAGTTTTTTTCTTTAAAAAAAACCTATACAATTAGTGCAACTTTCTTGTTATGCGAACCCAGTGTTGTCTAAAAGAAAATACAGTTTCTTCCTGGATTAGAATAATCTAAAGTCATCTGATCCTTAAGAGGAACATAAAAGTAGTTTAATAACTACAAATTGTGAGTTTCCATCAAGCGATATGACTCTGTGTTGCAAGTCACATTGAACTCTGAGAGACAGGAGTTTTTACAAAAGTACAAAGATAGGACTTGCAAGATCCCTTTTTCATGACACAGCCATAACTCAATCTTTCCCAGGAATGTTACTGTGCTGGGGACTAAGCAGGGCCCACAGATGCTTGTGCACGAGCTGCTTCTAAACTCTCACATGTTCTTCTCATTCGCACCCACCCAGACCTGAGTGACTCCGATTCAGCCTTAGGCCTAATCTGACAGATAAGAGCTGTGGGACAGCCCTGGGAAATGCTTTAGAGTAGATTCAGTCATCCCATCAGCCCCTCCTTCTCCTTCACAGTATCTATCAAAATCACAAAATAATATTGGCCTGGGTAATCATATGTTTAATGTAATCATATGTTTAATCTATGAATCTCCTGCACACCTAAGTGTCAAGAGCTCAGGGAACATTCGCTCCTTATACGTCAGTCCATAGCTTGTCCCTCACAGAGGGTGAACACAGAAGAGATCACTAAGAAAAGATCTCTTATTTATCACGAAGATAAATATCTAAGAGAGGAAAGATGGAAAAGGTGGATGAATGAGGCGAGTTGATTGTCCCAGTGAGAAATCCACGTACTGAAGTCCATTGCAGGTCGACAGAGCGGCTCTGGAATCCTTGACTCCTCGGATGCTCCCATGATAGTAACAGTGCTCCCCACCCTGCAAGGCAGAAGGTGACATTAATCTACTCTTTTCCAATGTGAGTCACACTTTAGGATGCTTTATAGGACAAATGTAAATGTAAGGGTAGGCCTAGGAGCTACAAACTCTTTCAACTTTTCTAAAACTAGAATGCGTAGGTTAAATTTTTCTTTAAAGATTTATATATTTGGCCCTCCCTGGTGGCACAGCGGGTAAAAGCACAGCACTAAGAAGCTAAAGCCACTTCAGCATGAGTTCAATCCCCGCCTGCCCCGGAGGTGACCCACATGGCGCAGCAGACCTCTCCTGGCCCGCCTGCTGCTCCCCTCTGGGAGGATTCTGGTGAATCCTCTCATTGCACCTGCGCCTCTGGCCTGTACCCCAGTGCATACAGAACTGGGGTACAGGCCAGAGGTGCAGAGACAGTGAGAGGATTCACCAGAGACAGAGTGGACAGCAGAACAGGCAGATCGAAGCACACTGCTGAGGGGAGCAGCGGGCAGGCCAGGAGAGGTGCGGGCGGGCCAGGAGAGGTCTGCCTCGCCATGTGGGTCACCCCCGGGATGGGAACTGAACTCATGCTGAAGTGGCCCTAGCTTCCCAGCGCTGCGCTCTAACCCACTGCGACCCCAGGGAGGATCCGTGTATATTAAATTTGATGGAGAAAAGACTTGCATAGGAATAAGACACCAATGAAACTACTACAGTTTATTTTCCTTTCTGAGCATGTAAGGGTGTAGATGCCAGGTGTGGTGAAGGTCTTCTACCTAAATAAGGAGAGCACTCAAACATGCTGTTTATAATAGTTTCTAATAGAAAAGTACATCAAATCTTGTTATTTACTTTCCTATCTTTTAAAAGTTGCTTTAAAAATTTTTTTAGAAATAATAGATGAGTTTATATTTCAACATCAAATAGTAACTATAATATAGATATTTCTTTTTTTTTTTAAAGATTTATTTATTTATTCGTACAGAACTGGGGTACAGGTCAGAGATGCAGAGGGTGAGAGGATTC